GCAATAGAGTTAAACCTGTGATCAAAAGACATACACAATTTATATTTTTATTTCTCATAATAGAGTATAATGTAAATAAAACAGAGACTAATCCATGGACTTGACAAAGATTTTTCAGTTTAAGCTGCATATGTAACACTGTAATTTCTTCTTATTATCAACAAAAATCTCTCAAATTTAAATAGTAGTCCTTTATATTATTCAATCATTTAATTTATTATTTGCTTATTGTACAACATTCGTACTTATAATCTTCTTATCAGAAAGCGATAAGAAAGAATAACCAGTAATTAGAAATTTTGAAACTAAACAATAACAATTATTGAATAGACATATAAATTAAGAATGGTTATGTTTTATATATAAACTCTTATACACCAATAAAATTAATGAATTACTAATTTTACTAATAATAGTTTTGATAGATCTATTCAAGAAAATAACTTTGAAGTGTTTTGGATTATTCATTTTAATTCTGATCAATCTTAAGCCAAAGTTTCAAAAAAATGTTATGAAGGTTTTAATTATTTTCATTTTATTATGGAAGTTTTGAAATATTTTCTCCAAGTTTGAATATCTGTTTTTTGCTTATTGAATATATTTAAAAATATTTATCTTATGATTTTATACTTCTTTAGATAGTTAATTGTTAAATTTTAAAATATATAAATCATAACTTCAAGATCGCTAAAATTTTTCATTTCTTTTGATACTTATAAAATAAAGATCATGCAAACCCCATTTTCACTTAACCATAAGGTTTCGTTATTTGTTCTCAAAATTCTCAATTTATTTAAATGAATGAAAATAATTTAATCTTCAATTGAATTATTAATCGCGATATAAAGATTACTTTGAAAAATAACCCTTAGAAATATTCATTAGGATATTCCAACTTTGTAAATAGGCTCTCCATGAGTTATGTATTAAATTAGCTTGAGAAAGCAGCGTAAGAATATTATATAAATTGTATAAATATATTTAAAAAAATTGGCTTATTTGTTACCTACATACTCTATATATACACTTTTCAAGTTTAAGAAAATGATTATACATAACTTTTTGGTTTGCAGATTGTTTTTAGTTTCTTAAGCTTCAGACCTAAATGACGGAATAACATGAAGGAAGAAGTAGAAAGATCTGTAGATTATAATATTGATTTTTAAGATTTAATAATATGATAATGGTTAATTGTAGCAAATTATTTGATTTTATTAGAATAAGCAAATTGGTAAAAGAGATCAAAACGATAATTAAATTAACTATGAAAAATCAAAATTTATTTATTTTAGTTTTGTTATGTTTAGCTAGGTCATAAGAACCATGGGAAATTATTTATAAAACCTTTTAAGATAAGGATTCCATGGATTTAGAAGGTTAGTTTCATATTAAGCTTTTAAGGGTGGGTAGTAAAAAATAGTTATACTGAAAATAAGGTCTCCAATTGCGCTGGATATACATTATTTGGAGGGTATAATTAATTTTCAAGTAAGACAATAGTATATAAGCACTTTTCTTTACCTCCTCATTATAAACTCAAAATTACCTCACAATTTTGGAAGTATATATTATATCAATGGTAGAATTGATAGTTGGAATGATGAGTATGCTTATGCAATTGCAGACAATTATGTATGGTCATAGATGTATAGTTATTCGGATGGCACCCAGATGTGTGGAAGAAGAAGTGATTTGCCAGATACAACCACACAAATTACAATTATTACGAATAATTATTCAAAATCATTACTATTTATAATGACTTCAAATCTGGATGTTAATGATGAAGTATAATGTAATTTAAACTAAAGGAAAGTTGGGGATTTAGAGATTTTATTTTATCAATATTAAGATGTCCTTAAGGTTGTATATACTGTTAAGATAATGATTATAATAATTGTTATTATTGGATTGACTTTTTATCCTTGTGGTATTAATCAATAGAACTTGATGGATGGATGAAAAATGATAATACCTTACCTGCAACAGGCTAATGTGTCGATATTGTTCTTGTAGGAGGGAAGAGTAATTTAGCCCCAAACGATAAATTAGGAAAAATTATAGAAAATTTGGCTCCTCATTATAGAATTTAAGTAAATGTATAATTTTGGAAGATTGGTTTATGGAAAAATGAATAATTTTCATTAGAAATAGATGATTAAATTAACAAAACTGATTTGGGAACTTAAGGCATTTATTCTATTTGTGGAGCAACAGAATTAGTTAAGATATTTAATATAGGAGTAACTTTATCTCATTCTAAGTCATAATGTAAAATAACTATGAGAACCAATCTTAATACTGAAACCACAGATGCATCTTGGGGAATAAGAGCCTTTGATATATATCTTGCAAAATGTTTTACTGGTTGTGATCAATGTATAGGGCCTTTAAAAACAGATTGTAAAGTTTGTTCAAGTGGATGGATTTTCTACAAAGATTTATGCACTCATCGTATTCATTAATCCTAATCATAGCCCCTCCTATGCTTTTTTCATAAATATCAATTACTTAAAATAAAGATTCTCAATCAGATTAAAGGATTTCTATGGAAATCCGCCTATTAGAAGTTGATTAATAAATAATTACTTAAGGAGATTTTACACTTTTATTCAAAAATAATTAATAAATATTGACAGTTCAAGTCTATGTTAAATGCTTTCCCAACAAAACAATAAAAAGTTAATTTTAATTTAACAACATAGAAAATTCACATAAATATTAATTTGAAAAAGAATGTAAGTAAAATTTCAATAGTGTAATTTATAAAGTAAAATATGACTTAAGGACAATTACAGAATAAGAGTTGATATTTAATACATCTGATACAAAATGTTTAATTTATTAGGTAATTAAAGTTGCTGGTGAATCAGAACTCATCAAAATATTAGAAATTTTATAAGATGATGTTTGAATATTAAACAAATGAAAATTTTTTAGTCCTAATGTTTATGATATATAATGAAAATTAAAATTTTGTGATTTTTTAATAACTTAGTAATCTTTTGCATTTCTTTGAACATTAGCATTATTTATTATCCTTCCAATTAACTTTAATATTTCTGAATCTAAGTTTTTTAATAAAATAATTAAACCACTAAACCATTTGATAAGATAAAACAAGTTGTATTTGTAAACATTTAACTATTTCCATAAGTCTTAAAAAGTGTTAACCCTGTTAATTTTATTTATCTAATATTCAATTGTGTTAAATAAAAATTTTCATTAATTCAGAAATTAGAATATATTACTTTATATATTTTAATTCAAATATTTAAGTTTCGTTTAGAATATAATTATCTAATATACAGACTCCTCATTGTTTTAAAAAGTAAAAGTTAATACTTCTTACAAACCCGATTTAATAAGATTACTATCCCTCCTTGAAATGATCTGAATAAATAATATAAGAATGAAGAAAAATATATTATATATTAAATATAAATATAAGTGTAAAAGATAATAAGGTGGTGGTTTATTTTTGGTGGTTTGATATTTTGTGTAATTTGGATGTTAATTGGGTTTTTGGGGTGTAAAGGTTAAATGAGAGAAGTTTGAGAATAGAAAAAGGGTTGGGGGGTTTATGTGTTGTGTTGGTGTTTTTGAAATTTGGAAAGGTTTTGGTAGTGGGGGGGGTAAGTTGGTGTTTGAATTATTTGATTAGGTGTTGGGTGAGTTGTTTGGGATATGTTTTGGGGGAGGTAGGTACGGACGGGTTGTTTGTGTATGGGGATGGGTGGTAGGAGTGGGTGGGGGGGGGAAGTTTGTAATTAGGGGTGGTTGAGTATAAATTGAAATTTAGGTTGTGGTAGGTTTTATGTGTACTTTGTGGGGGTTGGGCGGGGTTAGGGGGGGGGGGTGGGGGG